GAACAGGCGGTGCGCCGGCTGGATCACTGAGTCCAGTTTGAAGATCTTCCAGTTCTCTCCTTTCGGTATGACGGGTGCGTCGGGCCCTTAGGGTCCCGTCTGAAGCTGTGTGAGCTTCAACTTCAAATTCTTCCTCAGTATCATGGTCCGACTGAACTTGAGGGTCGTCCAGGGGACGCCTCTCTTCAGGCGTCGGTACAGACGTGGATGCCATCTTAGAAGTACTCTCCCCACAGACGGCGCCAAAATGTTTTGGGGTTTTCTGATGTCCTGCGGGAGAGTTACAATTCTGAGACTAGAACCAGACGCCTGTACCTGTAAAACAAACGGATGCTCCGGACGATTGGAGATCCGCCTCCGACGGTCAAGTTAGTACTTGATTAAGGAGTAATTAATGCGGAAATAAAAGTAATTGGGTCTCTCTAGGTGAGAGTGTTAAATGTGCGTAATCTCCCTTAATGAGGATTAATGGGCATATTTATATGCCTTGGGATGCGTGTCAGTACTAGGTTTAGGTTAAACCTAAGGCTGACTGGGCCTCCCACAATGATTGGGCCTTGTTGGCCGGTTTTTCCATTTGGCATGGGTGGACATGTGTCACATTGCAATTGGTCCAAGGAGGACGAATCTCTTGATGACACGTGGCAGGCTCCTATTGGCCTACATGAAGGACACGTGGCGAAACCTGGCTGGCCCACGTGTCGGATGCTGATTGGTGGATAAAAATCCCCTAATCAGCACACATGTATGATCATTATCATAGAAGCATAAGCGTGTAATGGCATATCAAAGACACTAATAAGAAAGACAAACTAACCAATCACTAAAAAAAACTAATATATACATGGTGAAAAATGAACCCTCCCCCAAGCTAAACCATACATTGTCCTCAGTGTATGCATAAATTAGTGTAATATAAACAATGGGAGAGGGAAATAGGTCTAATGATCAGGAGGGGAAAATTCATACCTCGGGGCGGAACCAGGACCACCCTCAAAATGCTAACTCATCATGCTCCCAATATCATAGAACTCGGACTGAAAGGCGGCGATCTGGTCTCTCAAATCACCAAACGTTGTTGCCATGCTATCATGGGACAACGACAAGTTTGTGACCGCCCTTTGAGTTTCACTAACATCTCTCCTCAGCTCGCCCATTCCATGCATAACGTGGCCCAAATCAGTCCTCATGGAGGCAACCTTCTCCTCCAAGGTAGGTGGTGCTTGCAGCCCTGGCTTGGTGATATCCTCGTCCATGCGTCCCTAGCCCTCCCCCACGTGTAATGGGATACCCTCTAGATGTTGAGGGGGCCACATGAAATCAGGGGGATGATCTAGATATCCTTTCCAGCGACCTGCGGAATCCCTTCCCGTGGGAGAAATGCATAAGGTTCGGGCCGGGGTAATGTAGGTCGACCTACAAGCCATTCGTAGCCTTGACTATGACGTCGTCTCCTCACCAAATTCATTTGATGCAGCCCCCGTGGAAATTCAGCATGGTGGAGCCAGCTACGTTGTACTCTTCCAAATCTGCAAAGTCAGTAATATAACCGCTAACAAGCAGAGTAATCATACCTCCAATAGCAATATCCTTGCTCCCCATAGCTACATGATATAGATGGTCGATAAACCATGCCCCCGGGTTAATGGCCTCATCATAGTTAGAAGGGTCGGGGTGGTCTAACAAATGCCACAATAAATAAAGTTCCTTAGCTGAACAGACTCCCCCTGTGTTCGATCTAGCAAATAGGGTCCATGAGAAGAGTCTGTAGATTAGGCGCATGGCTGGGTGAATGATACAGGTGGCTTTCGAGTGACTAGGATCATAACTATCTAGCCCTGTTAGGTTCTTCCACGTGTCGAGATCACTATATCCATCCAACCTATCGTAGTTGGGTCTGCCTAACTGTCTGTGTGTGGGGACACCTAGTAATACATTAACCTCCCTCACCGTAAGGGTGTAGCGCTCTCTAAAGCAATTGAATGAAATATCCCTAGGTGTGTGTCCATCTGATCTACGTCGGACAACTAAGGTTGACAGGAACTCGTAAGTGATATTGGAATATGTGAGGGCATGTTACGTTAGGAATCCACTCCAACCCAAACGCCTAAAAATCCTCGGGACTTCATTACCCATCCCCAAAGTTTCGATGTCTTCTTGGTCATAAAACCTAGTAGGGACAATGGATCGTGTTCGGATTCGTAAAACGTTTTTCATGTGCTCTTCATTATTCCCGAAATTTATCCCGTAGGTTTCTATGGGAGGGAGTTGGGCGGTTGGTTGTGGTGGGGGTTGGTTTCTTAGACTCGATGTGGATGTGTTCCTAGGGCGATTTCGTCTAGGGTTCAAAGAAGAATCCATGATTCACAACAACACAACAAAATATTCAATTCAAGCACAAGAATCAACCAAATATACTACCACAAAAGTAAGAACTCCACAATCTTCCTCAATATTTAACAAAATTCAACAATGACTCCACAAACTTTACTAGTAACCACTATTCAAACAAGTTCATCTAATAACAAGATGGGCAAGATTTACTCACAAACAACTTACTCTAGCAAGTTTATATGAAAGATTTTACAAATTAAGCATAAAAGAACTTAGAGAGAGAAAGTGTAGGAAAGAGTATACACAAGGTGTGGTGGGTGTTGAATACCTGCAAATGACCCGCTATTGCAACGTACAACACCTTAGGTAGTTGCCTTGGTCACCCAATTGCTTCAAATTCACCACAAGTAAAAACACCAAAATTGATTTCAAAACCTAGGGTTTGAATATTTTTTATGAGTATGGGGTATAATTGTGTTTTTGATAGCAAAGTTTTATATAAGTTGAGTAGAAAGGATGAGAGGATGAAGATCTTGATGAAATTGAGAATGGGTAATGAGGGATTTGAAGTTTAGTGAAAAGGGTGTGCGTGGGGAGGGAGATTAGAGATTGAGATATTAAAGGTGTAAAGTGAGGGGCACGAGCGTGCTTGGTATAAAAAAGGGGGGCACGGACGTGCCCTAGGGAGGTACGGATGTGCCTCTGTTGTAGAATTGCAGCTAAGCCAGAGGCACGGACGTGCCTCAGGCAAAACTTTTTTTTTTTTTTTTTTGTTTCACCTACATAAAGAGAGAAAAAAAAATGTGAAAACATAAATAGATAAATCTACAAATAAAAATAAAAATAAAAATCAAGTAAAAGATATAGAATGGGTTGCCTCTCATTTAGCGCTTGTTTATAAGGTTTCAAGCTTGACCTCCTCTATGCTCTAATTTTCCTGCAATGGGGTGGAGAGTGTGATGTCCACTCTTTCATCGATAGGGTCACCAACTCGATAATGCTTCCCTCTTCGGCCATTAACCTTGAAGGGTTCCCCTTTTGCGTTTCCTAGCTCAATGGTGCCGCAGGGATACACCATCTTAACCTTAAATGGACCTTACCATCTAGGCCGAAGCTTACCAGGAAATAGCCTCAACCTCGAGTTGAATAAAAGGACTTGATCTCCTTCCTTGAACTCTCTTTTCACAAAACCCTTATCGTGTCGTTTCTTTGCCTTTTCCTTGTATAATTTTGAACTTTTGTAGGCTTCGAGGCGTAGTTCATCTAGCTCATTCAACTGTAGTAGTCTCTTTTCACCCGCTGCTTGAGCATCAAAATTCAAGCTCTTTATTGCCCAAAATGCTCGGTGTTCCAGTTCTACGGGCAAGTGGCATGCTTTTCCATAGACTAGTTTATATGGGGTTGTACCTATCGGAGTTTTGAAGGCCGTTCGGTACGCCCATAGTGCATCATCAATTTTTGCGGACCAATCTTTCTTTGTCTTTGCAACCGTCTTCTCTAGAATAGACTTGATCTCTCGGTTGGATACTTCAACTTGGCGACTGGTTTGAGGATGATAGCCAATTCCAAGCCTTTGTTGTACTCCATATTTCTTTAACATTGCTTCAAACCGATGTTCCAAGAAATGTGTCTCTCTGTCACTAATCAACACACGTGGGATACCAAATTGTGGAAAAATAGTTTTCTTAATGAATTTACTTACCACTCGAGCATCGTTGGTTGGAGTAGCTATAGCTTCCACCCACTTTGATACGTAGTCAACGGCTACCAAGATGTAACGGTTACCATGGGAAAAAGGAAACGAACCCATGAAGTCTATCCCCAACACATCAAACAACTCGATCTCGAGTATGTTGTTGAGTGGCATCTCATTCTTCTTAGAAATATTGCCCGTCCGTTGACATCGTTCACATGCCTTGACATAAGAATATGCGTCCTTGAACATGGTTAGCCAATAGAATCCACATTGCAAGATCTTTGTAGTTATCTTCGATGGGCCTGCATGTCCACCACATGGTAAGTCATGGCAATGAGAAATAATATTATTTACCTCGTTTTCTAGAATGCATCGTCGAATCATAGTATCCGCGCATTGCTTGTACAAGAACGGGTCATCCTAAAAATATCTCTTTGCCTCATAAAGGAATTTCTTCCTTTGTTGAGAAGAGTAGCCATGAGGCATTGTACCTGTGGAAAGAAAATTAGTCAAGTCAGCATACCAAGGTGATCCAGTTTGCAATAAAGCTAATAGATGTTCGGCAGGGAAAGAATCATCAAAAGGGATATTGTCCCCATCCTCAGGGTCGAGGAGAAGGCGGGAGAGATGGTCTGCGACAACATTCTCTGTCCCTTTTGTATCCTTAATCTTTATATCATAGTCCTGTAATTGAAGGATCCACCGAATCAACCGAGGTTTCGCATGGGTTTTTCTCATCAAATATCTCAGTGCTGCATTATCTATATGGATAATAACTTTTGAACCAACCAAATAATAATGAAACTTGTCAATTGCATAAATTACAGCTAGCATCTCTTTTTCAGTTGTGGCATAATTCATTTGAGCAGAGCTAAGAGTTTTGCTAGCGTAATAAATAGCACGAAGCTTTTTATCCTTTCGTTGCCCCAAAACAGCTCCTACCGCATAGTCACTGGCATCACACATGATTTCACACGGTAAGCTCCAATCTGGGGGTTGCATGACAAGAGCAGAGATCAAAGCTTTCTTTCAACCTGTTAAAAGCTTCAAGACAAGAATCAGTGAAGACAAAAGGAACATCCTTAGCTAAAAGCTCATTTAGAGGTCGAGCTATTTTTGAAAAATCCTTAATAAAGCGACGGTAAAAACCTGCATGAGCAAGGAAACTTCGAACTCCTTTTACAGAATTCGAAGGGGGTAAACTCTCTATGACCTCTATCTTAGCCTTATCAACCTCAACATCCTTATTTGATACAACATGACCTAAACAATTCCCTGTTGCACCATAAAATGGCATCCTAAATTATACAAAGGACATGTGAATGTAGTATTTTCCTGATAACAAGGACGAATAGGAATTTGAAATAAACCAGAATAATTTACAAGGAATGCTTTGCTAACCTTTCAAGCATTTGATCAATGAAGGGTAGAGGAAAATGATCCTTTTAGGTGGCCTTATTTAATTTTCTATAGTCGATACACATTCGCCACCCTGTGACAGTCCTAGTGGCGACTGGCTCACCCTTGTCATTCTTGACAACGGTCATACCTCCTTTTTTGGGTACTACTTGTACAGGGCTAACCCACTTACTATCTGAAATAGGGTAGATTATTCTCGCAGCAAGTAGTTTAAGAACCTCTTTTTTCACTACCTCCATCATATTTGGATTAAGCCTTCTTTGAGGTTCTATAAAGGAAGCATGATCATTCTCAAGAATAATTTTATGCATACAAAAAGAAGGATTAATACCCTTAATATCGTCAATGGTGTACCCAATTACACTTTTATACTTTCTTAAAACAGTGAGCAATTGCTCAATTTTGTTTCCTTGAGTTCAGCATTAACAATAACAGGGTATGAATTATTAGGACCAAGATATGCATATTTCAGATTAGATGGAAGAGGTTTCAACTCTACCTCGGGAGGCATAGTACCCTCCCCAACACTCACTGCACTAAGTACTTCTCTGATTGGAGTAGTGATTGGGTTAGCCTTTGCTTCTTCAAGTAGCCTGATATACTCCCTTGATTCCCAATCTCCATCATCGTCCTTCTCTACTAGCACTGTTTCAAGTTCATCATCTGTTTTACGCAACGGAAGTTGCTCATTCTGCAGATCATCAAGAACATCTATCTGACAAACGGTCTCCCCCATAGAGGGAGTACCCATAGCATTTAAAAGTGAGTATTCCACTTTCTCATCATCAACCTCAAAGGTGATCTTACCATTCTTCATATCAACTATTGCACCTGCAGTAGCTAAGAAAGGCCTACCAAGAATAATAGGAACATGTGCATCCTCCTTCATTTCCATCACAACAAAATCACAAGGAATAAAGAATTTACCTACACGAAGAGGTACATCCTCAAGTACACCCAAAGAAAATTTGACTGACCTATCTGCAAGTTGCAAGGATATGCGTGTGGGTTTGAGTTCACCCATTTGCAGCTTCTTACAGATGGAGCGTGGCATAAGACTCACACTTGCACCAAGATCACATAATGCCCTGTTAATTTCGATATCTCCAAGCTTCATTAGAATTGAATAGCTACCCTGATCGCCTAATTTCTTAGGGAGAGTATTTTGCAATATAGCACTACACTTTGCAGTCAAAGCAACTTTAGCATTCTATTTTAGTCTTTTCTTGTTAGAAAGCATATCCTTTAAAAATTTAGCATAAGAAGGCATCTCGGATATAGCATCTAAAAATGGAATATTAATATGATGCTTTTTCAAGATATTAAGAAATTTACCGTACTTTTTCTCTAGCTTAGCTTGAGCTAACCTCTATGGAAAAGGAACCTTTGGCACAGATGGAGCAAGAGGTTTTGAAGTTGCTTCCTTTGGCTCTTCCTCAATCTTAGAACTATCAATCACCTTCTCACTTCCGCTTACTCCTTCAACAACCTCCCGTGATGGCTCCTTGATAGGAGGATCTTCCAATTGCTTCCCACTCCTTAAAGTTACTACAATCATATGCTCCTTCTGTGGTTGCTATGTCTTACCCGGAAAAGTGCCGGGTGTCTTTAAAGATTGGCCAACTTGATTAGCAAGTTGACTTATCTGATTTTCCATGAGCTTACTCCGGGCTTGTAACTGTTGTATGGAACCAATTTGTTTTTGGATGGAATTGTTGGTTATGGTGATAAAATTTTCCAACATTAGTTCAAGGTTGGACTTTTGAGGAGGTGGTTGAAAAGGTTGTTGGACTGGAGGTGGCCTTGGTTGGAAATCAAGTGGTGCATTGTAGTTGTTGTTTCGAGGTGGTGTTGGAGGTGGATTTTGTTGGGCTTGGGTATTCTTGTTGGAAAAATTTGGGTGCTTCTTCCAACCTTCATTATATGTGTTAGAGTGGGGGTCAAATGGCCTTTTAGGGCTGGAAGTGTAAAATGCATTGGCTTCTTTAATCGACATGTCATTTGATTTTTGTTGGCAATTGGGTGCAATGTGAAATTGCACATTACACATTTGACAAGTCTCAGATAAGCTAGCAGATGTTCCACCTTGGAGTCTATCAAACTTAATTGTCAATACCTGCACAGAACTAGTCAAAAGAGTTAGAGCATCAACATCTAATTTACCTCCCTTCTTCACATTATGTCGGCCTCGTGGATGACAATGATCATTGGCTGCCATCTTATAAATCAACTCCCTTGCCTCAATTGGGTTCTTTGTCAAGAGAGAACCTCCCGATGCAGCATAAATGTAGATTCGGAACTCATGGGTTAAACCATTATAGAAGGTTTGAATCAACATCCATTCAAGAATACCATGGTGGGGGCATTGCCTCTGCAATCGCTTAAATCTCCTCCATGCCTCATAAAGGTACTCATCATCTGACTGTCGGAAGGTAGATAATTTGTTTCTCAGCCTTGCAGTCTTCTCTTGCCTTAAAAACATTACTACGAAAGCCTTCACCAGCTTGTCCCATGTATGAAACGAGCCAGTGCCTTCATCTCTCAACCATTCTTTCACCCTATCCCGTAGTGAGAAAGGGAAAAGGCGAAGCATGATAACTTCATCTGTAACACCATTCATTTTCATCGTATCACATTTCTCCAGAAAGCTATCAATATGACTTACAGGGCAATCATGTGGTGTGCCTGCAAATGAATCATTGGAGATGAATTGAATGAACTGTGGTTTCAATTCAAAGTGTTGAGCAGTGATAGGTGGTCTAACAATGCTTGAGTGGAGTCTGGTTGTCGTATCAGGAATACCGTACTCTAAAATAGGTTTCGTGTCGTCTTCCATGTTTCTATTGTTTTGATTTCTCCCTTTTCTTCAACCTCTTCTTCTCCTTGCAGTTGCTTCGATTTCAGAATCAAAAGGTGCTAAATCGTCTGAGCCTGAACCTCGTGTTTGCATGCAACAAGGAACTAAACGCAGAGTATCAGAAACACAAGAGACAATAGCCGAAGCAACGAATAAAGCTTAGCACAAACGAATCACAAATAATAAGAAAGAAATTGTTAATCCCCGGCAACGGTGCCAAAATTTGATAGGCGTGTCGCGTACCTAACAAAAATTACCAAACAAGACTACTACTATATATGTAGACGAGCAAGTTAGGATCGAATACCAAGAGACTAAGGTTCACCTAATTAAATAGACTCAAATTATCACTAAGAAAGTAACAATCAATGGTGAAATATTATAAGAACTAATACATAAAGAACTCAATAAATCTAAAGAATGTGATATATCAATGAACTAAAACATCCAAGATCACGTATCACCACAATTACGATCGATACAATTATCTATCTACCCCTAGCCTACAAATCCAATTAACATGGGGAAAAGGAAACCCTAATCAATACCAAGGACCTATCTTGAGTATCAATGGCTTCTCTAACCACAGTCAAGCCTATTCTCATGGAATCATGCAAATTAGAGACATTAAACACCTTGCTTGCTTCCCAATTATCAATTCAACTAATCTCGTGATGAATCTCAAACCCTAAATTGATCTACTCAAATCCGTTAAAACCCAACTCTAGTTGTGATCAAAACTATGAAATAATAACAATACTAATTATCTCTAATCTAGTATTGGCATAATTACAATCAATTTAGCATAAACAATCGCAATTGTCATTAGAGAATTGAAAGAATCAATTCTTGCATCAACCTCAATTGGGCTACCCTAGATCTTGGAATATAAAAACTACTCACACATATTGATATAAGCAATAGCAAAAATAATCAAAGAAAACATAATTAAGAAATAAGGGATGAAAGAAAAATACCAAATCTTGAAATAAATGGAGATTGCAAAAGTAGAACTTGAACCTTTAATTACAAAGGCAACGTAAAAGTTTTAGAGAAAACTAGGTCTAATAAGGAATGCTAGATAGTTAAATAAAATAAAGTCTGGGGTATTTATACTCCCAACAAAAAGATAATACAATGTAAGAAAATTCAGTGCATCCCCCTAAGAGGCATGGACGTGCCTACAAGAGGCACGGACGTGCCTACAAGAGGCATGGACGTACCTCACTTCAAGTAAGGTTCTTCTCGTCTTCTGGACTCCAGGCACGGACGTTCCTCATATGCAGATTCGAAGGCAGTAACAGAGACACGGACGTGCCTCTATGAGACATGAACGTGTCTCACTTCCAGAGAATTTCCCTCAGTTTCTGAGGCTCGGGCACGGACGTGCCTGATCTGGGCATGAGCGTGCCTCTCCTAAACATGGCCATGCTTCACTCCAAAAAGGCCTAAGTAACTCGTTCTTCAACCAACGAGCTTTGTGAAGGTCCGTGGGCCTCGGTTTAGTCTCATGACTTCATAAAAATCTCTAAATTAGCTTCGTTAATCCTGAAATACATAAAAAAAACAACGAAACTACCCATAAAAGCATCAAATCATCGAGACTAAACCAAATCCAACCAAAATGAACTAAAATACTAAGCTAGACTAATAAGAACAACTAAAAAGAGGCTAATAATTATGCACAAAACACTGCTTATCACTAGGCCTTGCCTAGCGCCAGCGCCTAGCATGCTAGAAAGGCCTAACCTTGCGATGCTTGGGTGCATGGCTTGCTAGCACACACGCAAGGCCCTAGCACGCCTAGCATTCTAGGCTTTGAGACGGGTCTTGCCTAGCCTAGCATTCACATAGCTAGGCTAATGCGAGGCTACGACTAGGCTCGTACTTGTAACTTGGTTGATTTCGCGTCTCGTCGAATTCTAAACTCGACTCGACTTGCGACGTTCAATCTCGACGCTCTAAGCTCGATGTCCGACATCTTTGTTCGTAAAACTCCGACAACTCATCAAATCCTTCGGATTGATTCGTCGTCTCGGATTGGTTGTTCGATTTGGTTCGACCCGAAGGGTTCAGCCAAGATTAAGCTGTAATATTAATAGTACATTAAAATTACTGATCGGAAGCGGCCTCCACCTAAGCATTCCGATAACTTAACCTTACTGAAGAATTAGCTATTGGATAATTCCAAACCCTCTATCGGAATAATACACTTGTTGGAAGGTCACCATTCCTTTCACAATTTGTCATCACAAATTTCAATCTTAGGGAAAAAGATTTCTTTAATCAAAGTCAAATTGGAGAATTCTACCTCCCAAGCTCCAATCTTCTATTCCAATTTAAGGGGAGAGGTACATCTAACCCTACTCTTCCCTCCTATTTTAATAACATGCCTAGTGGATGCTTGTTTTTTGATGTGTGTAGTTCCTATGATCATGATGCATCTAATTTCCCTCACTCTTTTTCAAATGTATGTGATGACTTTGATGGTAATGAGAATGAGCATGTGAACAATATGTCTAATAACAATTGATCACTGTTTGATAATCAAAGAGGTAAAGGTAATAGGAATTACCACAACCAAGGTAATTTTGACAACTATAAACAAGGTGGTGGTTATAGGAACCAAGGAAACCAAGGTTTCTGAGGGAATTATAACAACCAAGGTTATAGTTGCTAAAATAAAAACCAAGGTTATGGTAACCAATTCCAAGCTAGAGGTAATGGACAACAAAGGTAGGGGCAATTTTCAAAATAATTAACAAAGAGGCCCTCCTCTCTGTTTTGTCCAAAGACCCATGCTCAAAATGATAATTCCTATGCACCACCCTCTTCTTCTAGGTCTAATTTGGAAGAGATCATTGAAAATAAAACCAAGATTTTGAACACCTACATGGCGATAAGCGATAAGAAGTTCAATGAAAAGATGACCCACAACAAAATGCTTGAAAACCAGATGTCTAAACTTACCAATGCCTTGAAAGACAATGCAAGCCCCTCTTCTTATCCCCCCAAGGCCTAGACTAAAAAAGACTTGTCAATGCTATTTTCACAAGAAGAGGTAAGGAACTTAAGGATAGTTTGCCTAGGAAGAGTAAGGCTAAGGAGAGCTCCAATGAGGTTTTGGTTGAAGATGTTGGAGATGATGCACCTATGAGCTGTGAAACCTTGTGAGAAGAAGGAAGAGAAAGAAGTTGTGAAATCTAAGCTTCCCTACCCTCAAAAGTTTTTAAAGAATAAAATGGATGAGCAATTAGGGAAGTTCATTCAGATGCTTAAGAAACTTCATCTTTCCCTACCCTTCATCGATGTTATCCACCAAATGTCAAACTATGTTAAGTTTCTTAAGGACATTTGAGTGGGAGAAGGACTTGTGATGTGGTTGAAATAGTGAATCTCACCGAAAATTCACTACTACAAAATAATCTCAAGTAGCACCTAAAAAGTGTTACATAATGTGGTAAAAGTGTTATTATAGACAATAGGTAACACTATTTTTGGTCATACATCCACCCATGTTACCTAAGGTCTTACGTAACACTTTGGGTTATGTATGGTAACACTTTCAAAGTGTTACTACAAAACCTCTTATGTAACACTTTTTGTATTATTAGTATCATTTTAAAGTGTTACTTTTATATCTTATGTAACACTTACTTATCTTTAGTAACATTTTTTTTATCATATAGTATCACTTTATT